GGGGGCCGATAAGCACGTACTTACCACGTGCGTTTAGCTACCTCTTGTGAAAAGGTCTTAACATGGCAGTGAAGGATACCAGGTGGAAGAGTTGAACCTAGATTTTAGTCTTCACTGTGTCTCATTTGTGAAGATTTGGGAAAAGTTACTTCGCCTTAATAATCTCCGGTTATCTGGCCTGTAAGGATGGGACACTGGTTAGGACCTCCGGAAGCTACTTTGTTCTGTTCTTCTATTCCGAAAGATGCAAGGACCACCTACTTCTGTCTCATCCTTGTTGCTAAAGTTCTGAGCGATGGGGAGATGCCAGAGCAGACTCAGAACTGAACCCAGGTGGGCTCTGGGGCAGCAGAGAGTGAAGACAGAGCTGCTGGGCAGTGAGGTGCCTTCTTGGGGGACGTGGAGGGGTGTACCTTCACAGTACGCATAATGGCCAGAGAGGGTGCCCATTTGTCTCGGCCTCTCTCCGCTCAGCTTTCTACCCTCCTGCGCCTGAAGCTGACCCGACCTGTACATCAGCCCTGCTTCCCTCGCTGCTGGCCTCACCTGTGGAAGTTGGCATCTTCCCTGGGGGCCGGAACCTGGAGCCTGAACATTGTCCTTGGTGAAGAAAGAGTGCCCTCTAGTGGGTGTTAGCTAGAGGCGCTCCGGACCCGCGTCGCTTCAGCCAAGGACGAACAGGCACAGAGCCCTCCCTCCAGGACGCTGGAGCCCTTGGATGTGTCTTTGGGTCCGTTTTCTTTCTTTCTTCTTTTTTTTTCCTTGTGTGACGAAAAAGAGAGGGAAAAAAAAGCCCTGTAGGAGATCAGTGTTGAGAGCAGCTCTGACAGTATTGTGACAGTCCCCTTGTCTTGGGAATTTTACCCAAAAATTAACCCAGGGTAAGCAAAGGCAGCGAGGTGCACCTGACATCCGATGCTTGTGACCAGAGGGTAGCTTTGTGAACAGAAATTCTTTAAGACTCACAATCAAAGGCTTTCTTGGACACGTCTGCCAATTGCCCCGGCCTCCACGGACAGTACCTGCCTTGTGGTACACACGTTATTTGGCTCTTAAAGTTCTGTTTCAGAAAGGGTTGCGGGGCTGGAAGGGCAGGTGTGAGGGAGAACGGGAGAGCCAGGGCGCCCATCCGGGAAGCCAGGAGCTGATGGCATGCGCATGCGACCCTTGCTGGATTAGGTAACAGCTCCACAGGTCGAAATTAGATCTAGAAGGATGAGCGTTAACTTCTCCTGTGTCCCAGGGAAAGGTTCACTTGCCACCGAGAGGAAATGAAGCTTTTAAAGGATCATCTGGTCTCTGACTCACCAGAGGGAGGGCAGTAATTGGGTTGCATCACTTTTGGTTACACATATCACCCTTTTCATCTACTTACTTACTATTGTGTAGTTGTGGTTTTTAGCTTGAGTAACTGGGCAGTTTCTGTCTTGCTGAATCCCAAGGTCCCCTTTGCGACTGGCGCCTTCGGATTCTCCTTGTCCTGGGTGGAAATGTGACCCTGCGGTGTTGCCTTGCGTGCGTTGCTGCCTTCCTCCAACTAACTCGTCCTGGTCCAAGTCCACCAGAACTAGAATCTTCCGTGTGAAATGGTGGCAAAGGAGGATTTCCTTTTAAGGACTTCTTTTGTTGATAATCTCTCCCCTCCCCCCCCCCCTTTTTTTTCCCCACTTTTGATTCTTGCATGTATTCTGAGATTTCCTATTACTGCGATTTGCTTATAATTTGAAGGGTATAATTTAGAGACAACTGGGTCTTTTGTTTTTGTGCATTTTCCCCCCTTTTCTTTTATTTTCTCTAAACCTCCGATCGGGGCATATTTACGTTTTGTGAGTTTTGCGTATAGATGTAGGCGGCATTTGTGTCATGATGCCTGTGTTCCTTTCCTGTCAGTTTCTGATTGGTCACACTTAGAAAGCACTTCTGTGAAATCTGAGTGTATTCACATCAACAAAATGGATCCTACACAACTCCAAAGAGGAAAGAAAAAAAAAAAGGCACTCGGATTTGGTCAGTGCTGGGTGATACCTTGGTAGTGTTGGGCCAGCCTTGGCAGTTTCCCTTCTTGCTTTCTTGAAAACCAGTTGTCTTTTCAGAGTGAGTTCATTGGGTAGGAGTATGGAGCTTATGTTCATGCTGCCTGTGGATTGATTGGGAAAAGGGGGGCACAGGCCTGGGCACCACCCACGAGAAGGCGCTCTCAGAGCTGGCGTGAGGCTGGGGGGGAGGGCATCAATGGTGACGTGGTCCCTCAGTGGAACCCAGAAAAAGCCCCGTTTCTGCTCTCTGCCCTCTCTCATTACTGACCCGGGCTTGCTGGAAGGTGCAGCCGCAGAGTGAATGAGGCAGTTAACAGAAGGAGAGATCCGAATAGCAGGCTGGGCGGGCCATACCTCGTCTGTCCTGGTAGGCCACATCCTGCCCATTAAGATGATGCTGGTCTCTTCTCGCTGTGGTAGCGACCAGCAGTTGGTTTAAGAGATGGCTTAGTTATGGGGAGCAGGACCAACTTGGAGGCTACATTTAGAGAGCACGCTTTTGCCCCAGCACAATTTTTTTGGATGGTCAAGCTACTGTGAAATGATTGCATTCACTTATTAATGACTCAGAGGTTATTCTTTTTAAATTATTTCTCAGTGAGCCATACATGTCCTTCTGTGTGTGAAGCAGTTCCGTTCCACCAACGAGGAGGAGGGCTTGGGGAGAGCACTTGAGACGCACTGCTTAGGGCCCCGGCGTCCCAAGTTGGAGTGCACAGGTTTGAGTCCAGGCGCTGCTGTTTATTTCAGCTTCCGGCTGAGGAATACCTTGGCAGGCATTAGATGAAGGCTCAAGTGGTTGAATCCCTGCCGCCCTAGTGGGAGACCTTGCCTTGGCCTGATCCAGCCCGGGAAAGTAACCCAGCAGATAGGAGATTAGCTATCCTTGTTTTGCCACCATTGGAATAAGTAAAATGAATTTTGTTCACAACATTGGCCATGCACACCTCATGCAAATGGCTTTACCTCGCAGAGCTCTCTGGGTAGAAGAGGTGTGAACATGGGGGAGGGCAGCTGCTGGGCTCTGACACCAGGGGCTTCATCGCCAGCTTCTTTTCAGGACTTTGGGGCCTGGTTGTATTGAGTTTTCTTCTTCAGGAAGGCCCTGTTCATGGGCTGGGTCCTTCATAGGACTTTGGAGATGTAAATGAATTTAAGAAACAGAACAATATGACCAACATTGGTGATTCAAAGATCGGGCACAAAGGCGCAGTCTCTCATTCTCTGGCCCGAGTCAACAGAAGAAGGATTTAATTGAGAAAAAGAGCCCACAAAATAAGCCTTAGCCATCTGGTACCTTGGCCCATCCCCACCATGGTGGTTATTTTTCATACAGCTGATAGTTCAGGGTCAGGGATGGAGAGCAAGAGCAGGCTCCGGTGCTGTGGCAGCTGTGGTGTGTGATGGTGGGCTTCTTCTCGTCCCTCCTGGCAGAGCCCTCCACTCCTCCTCCCTTCTTGCCCTAGCCCTTCTCCAAAGGGCGCTTGACTGTGTTCCCTGAGAGCCATGTTATAATTTTCCTTCTGGCATAGAAACTGGGGGTGTCATGAGGATGAACTTTGAGGAGTGGTCCTTGTCTTGCATGTTGGGTAGCACAGGAAGTAGTTGCACTGCTGCTGCCCATGGTGGGATGTCCTGCCTTCCCTGTTACACCTTGGGGAAGGGGGAGGTGATCCCAAGACAGCAGGATCAGGTACTGCCCTGCACTGGTGTCAGCAGGTGCCACATCCTCAGGGGACCTGGCCCCTGGCACCCTTATCCCCTCCCTTGAAAAAGCATTGGCCCAGCTCCTCTGCTTTTAATCATTTTCCTCTTTTGCAACTCTGCCTCCACATTCTCTTCAATTCTTTTAAAAGTAAGAATTCTTTCATGGTCTCCTTACACAGACATGACTGCTGATAACTAAACTGGATTTGCATGAGTCATTTATCTTAGGGCAGCTGGTACATGGGTAGTTAAAAAAACTTGCATAGCTCTCTTGCTGATTTACTGTATCACCTGTTCTCTCCCAACCCAAATAGCTCTTTCCCTTCCCAAGGACTGTGCAGTTTTAATTACCAAAATAAATAAATAAATAAATAAAAAGCAGCCCCTTTGGTCAAGACTCAGTCCTGCTACACCACTGGCGTCTTTGAGTCCTAGACACAGGGCCTCACCTGGTTTCCAGCAGGATGGAATCCTTATCCCCTTGAACTGTATCTCAGGTTTGGGGGCTGCGTGTTCCCAGCTCCTTGTCCACCTCCTCCTCTCCATTGGTCGTAGGGCCGTGCTGATACCCTGCTGGGCAGAGGAAACATCTTAAGAATTCCTTCCAGACGAACTGCATGTGCCTGCCTTAGGGAAATGCAAACAGCCTAGTTACATGTCACATAGAGAGTCAGTGTGGGTGAGAACCCAAACTCGCACAAGTCTACCCAGAGGAAGGAAGAAGCAAATGCTTTTCCTTGAATTCAGATTTAGCAGGCTGAGATTTGCAGGATGAATGTCAAACTGAAACTCTATTACAATTAATTTTGTAATTTAAAAATCTCTTACTGTGATGAAATCTGCATAACCTGAGATGTGCCCTCGTCACTGTTTTCAGAGTGCAGTCCGTGCCTGCTGTACGCCTCGCTCACCACCATGTACTGCGGGAATGCTGTGTACCCACTCAACAGTAGCTTCCCCCTGCCTGCCTTCCCCAGCTCTCGGCAACTAGTAGGGCCGCCGTTAGCCCTACGCATTTCACTATTCTGGACACCCCACAAGAGTAGAGCATAGAATTCGGTTTTTGAAACAAAGCAAGCCTCCCCTTCCATTTTCTCACTCTCTCCCTCCCTCTGTTTATTCCAGCCTTTTAGCTCCCAAATATCTCATTGCCAGTAGTTGGGAGATTTGGGTATCCAAGTGACGCTGCTGTGTTTGGCGTTTTTCACGTTTCTTCCTTGGCTTACTCAGGTCGCTCCTCTTTGTCTTCTCCCGCAGTGTTGAGTATCCGCGGAGCCCAGGAAGAGGAGCCCACGGACCCACAGCTGATGCGACTGGACAACATGCTGTTGGCAGAAGGCGTGGCCGGGCCCGAGAAAGGCGGTGGGTCAGCAGCCGCAGCCGCTGCTGCAGCAGCCTCGGGTGGGGCAGGTTCCGACAACTCCGTGGAGCATTCCGACTACAGAGCCAAACTCTCACAGATCAGACAAATCTACCACACAGAGCTGGAGAAATACGAACAGGTAATACAACCGCCCAGGAACCCCCGAATTCGAGGCCTTTTGGAGAGGGCAGGGGAGTCGGCAAACTTGTGGGCAGCGCTTTCCCAGGTATTAGGATTCTTGTGACCAATCACAGTCCCTGACCCCCGGAAGCCCACTGATCCTGGTATCAACTGAAAACCAGGTATCGCATGGTGATGAAGACATTCAGATGATATGTGAAGTTCAAGTGGTCATGTTAAGTGACCTTGCAGTAGGGGGAATATTGGACACCTTGAGAGCCGTTGAGGTCCTTAGCAGTCACCCCCTGCCTCGTGGGGAGGGCTGAGGGTTCTGGCAGCCCTTGTCTGTTGCCTGCTGGATGCTCACAGGGAAAGGATATGAAATCTTGGCCATAAAAACCTGTGCTCTACCCAGATACAGTTCAGTCGTGAATCAAATGTATTCTTTTGCAGTCAGATAAACTTGCGTTTCCATCCAGGTCACAGGTTCTGTGAAATCCAGTGTTTTATATAGTATACACTGCAGACATGATTGTGGAATTGGAGGCTGAGACCCCAAAAGACAGTATAAATCCTGAGCATGAAAGAAAAAGCCTTGAAAAAAGTTCTTTGAGAGGAAGTATATGTGTGTGCGAGAGAACATTCTCGTTGATTCATTCACTCTTCAAATGCCTACAGTAGCCAGCCCTGGACCATGGCTCAGGCCCGATGGTTGGAACTGAATCCAGGTCTCCCTGTTTGGTTGTAAGAACCCAATCGTTTGAGTCATCACTTGCTATTTCTTAAGCTCTTTAAGAAGCTGAGCTCAGGAGCCAGTTGGATTTCCAACTACACATTCCAATAAGGAATTTGGGTTCCATAATGGCTAGGCCCAAAATCTTTCCTCCAAGAAAAGCTTCCAAGGACAAAGTAGTGAATTAAACCAAAATTCTTAATTGTGACAGAGCTCCTGTGTACCAGAAATGCTCCCTCATCCCCAGCTGCTACCCACACGCACCACGTTACACACCAGGACTGTGTCTTCTGGTTAGCAGGAACAGTGCTAATTTATTAGCTGTCCTTGAATACCATCGGTTTGTCTTCTGCCGTTTATCTGAAAAATATGTATGCAGTCTTCTCTCTGGATGAACTAAAATGCTCCATAGCTTATTTTCCACTGATAGCATTCTTTTTTTTTTTTTAAGAGCTCAAAGAGAGAAAAAATACAAAGAACAGACAATCCTCAGTAGCCCTCTTAGGACTCTCTGGTTTGGAGGCATGCAAGCCTAATAGAGAGATTTAAATTTTAAAGTAGAAATGGCCCTTTTATAATTTGAAATGAAGAGTTTCATTATTGCATTCCTGTCTACTTTAGAAGTGTAGCTTTAGTTGGGAAAAACAAATTTTGGTGTCGTGCTTACAGCCAAACATGTGAAATCCAGCCACCAGGAAGGTGTAGAGAGGACTGAAAGAGAGGGAAGCTGTAACTCATTGTCTTCTACCTTCTTGGAAATAACCAGTGTTGTTGCCACGGTGATGGTCCCTGAAGCCCTGAATGCTGTTAGCTGCCAAATACAGATATCTGGTCCAACTCTTAAGTTTCCTCACCTAAACCACCATGACAGAATTTGGAGTCTTCCTAACTTTAGAAGATAGACGGGGGCCTTTCCTATAAAGGCCCCTTAGAGTCCTCTTGAATTCTTCCTACTCAAATCTTCTATCTTTGCAAGGGTAACTGGCCTCTACCTGGCAGTCTGTCTACACTTGTCATCCAGCTAAACAAGTGCAAACAACCAGGGTACAAGAAGAGGCCAGCCTGTGGCTCTCCCCACTAGTCCAATGCCCGGAAGCTGGGGTAGGTTGGGAGGTATTGAAAACAGGCTTCATTTATAGCTCAGGTGGCCAGCAAGAGAGAGAAAGTGACCATTTTCTTGATGTAAGCTTTCTTACCACTCTTTTGCCCCTCATCCAAATGAAAACACTGGCAGCCATAGTGTTCTTCAGTGGCGTGTTTCTCAATAGCAAAATACTATGGCCGACATCACTGTGCTTGCCCCTTTAGGCTGATGTGTGGCTGGGTACCAGGGTAGGTCCCGTCATCATCTCCATCTTCATACAGGTCAGCAACCAAAGGTGAGGGGCAGCCAGCCCTGGAATCTAGTCTTTGATCCTTGGTCCAGGAATTCTCATGGAAAATATGTGTAACTCTTTAATAAAGAGAATGTAGGCATCTATGTGCATTGAAACAACCAATTGCCCTCTCTGTTACCTTGCTGGATTGGATCGCTAGTACTAACGCAGGCTGGTGTTGACAATCTGCTCTTCTGGAAAACCACCCTTTTAATGATAAGGTGTGGAAACTGGCCACTCCATTACAGGGCAAATTATGTTCTCTTTTTGGTAGGCATTTTCCGGTTAAGAAATGACTACTGCTTGATGCAATCTGGATGGTTAATAATTTATTAATATTAGTTATGTTGTTAATTATAGTAAATAGCAGATTGTAGAAAATTATGCTATTAACCTTCTAGCTAGTGTGTCTGAGAGATGTATCTTCTTCATTTTTCTGAAACAATTCCTCATTTTTTTTTTAAAGAACCCCCATTCAAATAAAAATATGGCTGTCTATTTTGGTAATACTTATGTAAGAGTCCCAAACTGATTAACAGTGCATTCTGCAGGGATTTGTTTTTGCTAGGGTATTGCAGATAATCACAAAATAATTAGTTATTATGACCCCTCACACCTGCCTCCTTTTATTCATCGCGCCCCCCCCCCAATTCAAGCGTTGTTTTACCCTGAGGCTATTAAATAAAGTATAGCTTTATAGAGACTTTCATTCAAAAGAAATGGAGACAATTGTTTTATTCATCACATACGATTGGTAGAAGACCTCTTCAACAGATCATGTTGAAGCCAAGTATTTAAACCCTGGCTCCTTCTAGCACCTAAAACCAAGATGTCAGACACCCTGATTGTACTCCAAGAGCTATCTAGGGAGATGATCCTCTTGTAGTTTTGCATTGTTCTTCAGAGTTTGTAAGTAACGCGGTTGCAATATTGAATGGCTTTCAGTCTCTAATGTGGACCTGGACTGGACTAATGGAGTTCATTCCTGAGACCTCTGTTATTTCTTTGGGTAAAACTGGGATCCAAATCCAACTGGAATAAGTGCAGGAAGAAGTTGCATTGTGTAGAGTGTGGGATATGAGCTTCAACTGTAGGACCTTTGCAAGGGTTATCAAGAGGCCTTTATCCTGTCTGTTATCCTGGAGCCTAAGCAGCCACTTTTCAGAAGTTTCTTTGGCCTGTGGAGGTTGCACCTTGAGCTCAGATTATTAACACTGCTCTGTGTGTGTCTGCCTTACCCCCAAACCCTTCAGCCTCTGGGGACTCTGACTAGCCCATTAGTTATATCTGTGACCACTACATGGTCTGCTTCATGTCCTAAGGTGAGTGCCTCATCGCACAGAAGTAGCCCAGCATCTGCAGGTGCCAAGCTTGGGGGGAACCAGAGGAGAGGGTGTGGCTCGTTCAAGAGCAGCACTAACCTGGATCATTAGGCGCTGTCCATCTGAAGTGGCTGTGAGCCTTCTGCTCTCTGCCGGGTGTTCCTGAGCGGCTGTGCAGCAGCTGCTTTGTTCCACCTCAGCAGTGGGTGAAAGGACTCCACTGTCTGTTTATCCTGGAACAGAAAGGGCCCGGGATGAATGCCCTGAATAAACAGCCGATATGGTGACTGTTTTAGTCACCTGTAATGAAGCACGTAATTATTAGCCTAGTGGTGTGGCTTACCAGCTGAGAGCTGGTGCACTTGACAATGCCTCCTCTCCGTGAGCCCCTCCTTCCTTTAAGGCTCAAAGAGGGAGGGCGGCTGTAGTCCTGTGGGAGATTGCCTTTGCCTGGCAAGATGCTTGGGATGTTTGCTCCATGCGTAGTCTCCCCTCTTCATCCCTGGGCCCCGCAATCTCAGCCATTCACTCCCTGGCAAATTGGAATTCCCTCCCTTTTTGTGTTCAGGGCCCAGTGTTACACACAGTACATGCTTGTAACACAGAGCTTGTGTTTCTGTAATGGCTTTGCTGAATGGCAAGCAAAAGTCCTGAGGACCTGATTATCTATGGGTTTGTCTTCAGCTGTGTATGGAGGTTGGAAAGGGTGTGTGTACCACCTTGACTCATTTGGATGGTTTTCAGTTCTTTACATGGACATAAATGTTTCAATTTTTTTTTAAAAAAATTTATTTATGTATATATTTATTTTAAGGTTAAAGTGACAGAGAGAGAGGAGGAGGATGGGTGGAGAGAGAAAGAGAGAGAGAATCTTCCATGTGCTGGTTCACTCCCCAAATGGCCACAAGCCAGGAAACTGCAACTCCTGCTCAGTCTGTCACATGACTGTGACAGGGACCCACGTATTTAGCCCATGAGCTGCTTTCCCAAGGTCAATGCCAGGAAACTGGGTCAGAAGCAGAGCAGCCAGGACTTAAACAAATACTCGAATATTACAAGTAGCAGCTTAACCTGCCACAACAGCAGTCCTAACTTCTCTTTCAATTCCATTTTCTGTGATTTAAAACAAAAATTATTTGAAGCTCAGAATGACAGAGAGAGCTTCCATCTACTGGTTTACTCCCCAGCAGCAAGGTCAGGGCCAGTATGAAGCCAGAAAGCAGGAACTCCATCCAGGTGTCCCGTGTGAGAGGCTGGGCCCGAGCGCCTGTGCCATCATAGCTGCTCACCGGGACTTGCTCTGCTAAGACCTGATTACGTTGGTGGCTGCACCTGCTGCACCTTCCGGGAACTTTCCAAAGACCTGCTGTTATTTTTACCAACAGAGAAGCTGAAGCCAGGAGAAGCTTACCCAATCAGGAAACTACACTGGATTTTTTTTTCAAATTTACATCTTATGTATTTGCTTTTAGAGGATGTATTTTTAACTTACATTACATTCAAAAGTTCAACACATTGGAAAGCAAAAAGACCATAGTTCAGCAGGAAAATGGGGGCTATACATAACAATTGGATGTTCGACTTTACTCACAAGTTGCCTTATGTTGTCTCCGTTTTGTGGGGAGGATGACGTGTGTGTGTGTAGGCCCAAGCCTACACCTAGATAACACTCACTTCATCCTCACTACACCCCCATCTCACAACTGAGGAAAAAGTGTTCGTATATTCAGTGACTTCCTGAGGTCTTCTAGCCATGTTCATCCCAATGGCAGGGATCTGAATTTGCACAGCTTACACCTGTACTCAGCCTGCCCTGCTGGACTCCTGCGGGTGACTCATTCTGTCTGCAGATCACTGCACAAGAGCATGGGCTCTGTGAGGGTTGCTACAGGGTTAGGCATGATACCTCGTTTAGGTGAAAAACGTAAACTCTTGCGTGGTGATGGATCTGCCAAATGTTCTGGAAATAGAGTCACAATGGAGCCTTTCTCTCTCCAAGCTTGGGCACAGCTCTGTGGCTGCATGTGCCTATGTTTCTGCATCCAGAGAATCTGCCAGGTTTTCCTGGATGAGAAACCAGTGAGCCTGTGCTCCTGCATTGTTCCTGCATTCTCGACCCATACGAAGGGCTTTGTGCTGTAAAAAGAGCATCAGTGCATGTCATCAATAGGAGTGCTAATGTGCATCTATTAGCTAAGTAAGAGACCTCCAAGATCTTTCTTTGTCAGTTCTCAAAGCATCACCTTGCCTTTCTCATTAGGAATCCTATCTAGTTTTATGGCATGTCTCTGAGTAACTATGAATATTTTCTTAAATGTTTAGCTGTCGAAATCAGACTGTGGATATTAAGTGATGGTAATGAAATGCAAGAACTGGTTTTCAAAGCATCAGATTTAAGCTCTTGAAGGCCATGGTCTAGAAAGTGAATCGTTCAGTTCCTGCTTCTGTTTCATTTTGGTTGCTGTGTGCCTTTGGAAAAAAGCCTTCATGTCTCTGAGCCACAGATTTCTCAATTGTAAGATAAAGAACTCATGGTGTGTGGTCTGAACTTGAGTTTTAGCATCTGCAGAGGTAGTTCCTCAAAGCCCTAACTTGTGTTTGCATGCTGTTTCTTCTAGTGCCAGGGGACAGCTTCCTCTTGTGCTATAAACATTGTGGATCTTGAAAAGCCCATCACAGAATTGGTTCTTACGTTAAAACCAGGCATAGAAGTAGACTGACAAAGAATTTCCCAGAAGAGTTATCAAAACTTTTAATACTGTGACTTCGCTTCCACCCTTTCAGCTCTTTCTACATCCCAGAATCGTTTATTTGGAAGTCTACTGTATCCGAGATAATGAGCAAGGTGGAATGCTTGTGCTGTATTTGACCCCAAGTTCTCTTTGGTTATTCACATGGGAGCAAAGGGTAGTAAACTATATTTTATACTAGGATTTATCACTTCTCAGGAGTAAGAATAATTAGAAGTAAATCCTTAGTCTTCTGTGGAAAAATATCAAAGTACTGGCCAAAGCATAGAGCCCTAAGGGACTAAAAGAAAGTTCCAGGCAATCACTTCTTTATCCATCTGATTTGACAAAATTCCTGATATCTTTGCACAAATCTTTTAGTCAAGACCACCCAACCTCGCTTCATAGATGTATGCCACGATTGAGATATTCAAGGCCCCTGTTTGTGTTGTCTTGCCGTTCCAGGCATGCAACGAGTTCACCACCCATGTGATGAATCTCCTGCGAGAACAGAGCCGGACCAGGCCCATCTCTCCCAAGGAGATCGAGCGCATGGTGAGCATCATCCACCGCAAGTTCAGCTCCATCCAGATGCAGCTCAAGCAGAGCACATGCGAGGCCGTCATGATCCTGCGCTCCCGGTTTCTGGACGCACGGTAAGTTGTTGGTGCCCTGTCCTCTTGGAGAACCACAGGTTGGCCTTCTTACCTGAAGGCTTCAGTGTCACCACGTTCAACGTTAAACCAAACAGTAGCATGGTTTGGTTTGATAGATGGTTCCGAGTTTTGGTCAAGACTGGCTATGGTGTGAGAAGTCATTGGTTTTGCACTGGGCCAAAGAAAATTTGTGACTACAGAGAAATTAAAACAAGCAAAAAAACATTTCTTTGTTTTTATTGGAAAGGCAGATTTACAGAAAGATGGAAAGATCTTCAAATGCTGGGTCACTTCCCAAATGTCCACAATGGCTGGAACTGAGTCAATCCAAAGTCAGGAACCTGGAGCTTCTTCTGGGAATTCCAAGTGACTGCAGGGTTCTAAGGATTTGGGCCTTTACTACTGCTTTCTCAGGTCACAAGCAGGGAGCCAGATGGGAAGTGGAGTGGCCGGGACAAGAACCAGCACCCATCTCAGATGCTGGTGTTTGAAGGAGGCACAGATTAGCCAGTTGCACCATAGCTCCAGGTCCGAGAGGAAAATTTTTCTCAGCACTGCTACTCATGTGGGGTGAGCAGCAGGATGTTTTAAATAGTATGAGATAAAAGGCATGGCATCTTTTGGTTTGTAGCATTAGGAGCCTCTTGTACATGTAACTGTGGCCCATTAGCCATCTCATTGCCACGTTGTAGGAATGCGTGTTCTGCAAGAGAGCCAGTTCTGTTTGTTTGAAAGCTACAGACACACCCCAGGGGAGCACACACTGCTCACTTCAGCACACTCTGAGCTGCATTTTAGGTATCCAGAGAAGAGTTAGATGTGGAACCTTGGGTGTGAAAGGACAACAGACTCTGGTTTGATGTTTTCTCTCTGGTATTGCCACTCAGGAGTTCAGAGATCTCTGTTGAAGATTCCGTTGAAGATTTCTGTTGAACTGTAGATAAAAGTGTCTTTTATTATTATTATTGTTATTACTATTATTATTATTATTAACTGCATTGCATTATATGACACAGTTTCATAGGCTGCGGGATTCCCCCAACCCCTCCCCATACCCTAACCACATGGTGGATTCCTCCACCCTGCTGCAGTATTACAGTTCAAATTCAGTCAAGATTCTTTCATTGCAAGTATATACCAAGCATAGAGTCCAGCATCTTATTGTCCTAAAGGTGTCTTTTTAAAAGAGATGATAACTGGTTCAGTAGAACAAATAACCAGTTCTTGGTTTTTCAAATCTAGACCAATAGACTTATGAGAATCACTTTGATTCTCTTAAGAGACTGGTAAGCCTATCTTTCATCTACTCTAGAATATTTTCATGATTGATACAGTGCAGATGTTTCAGAATAGACTAGCTTTTCATCTTCTGTGAATATAGAAATTCTCATTCTTTATTTCAATTACTGAAAATAATTCCAGTCTGTGATTATCATTATTAGAATCTCAGACCCATCTGGGCCAGAATACCATTTTGTGATCTGTAGATTTGTCCCTTTTCAGTCACAGAAAATGATGCACGGTTCCTCTTAAATTTCCCCACCTCTGAAATCATATGTTACACACCTCTGCTACCTGCATTTATCTCCTAAACTCCCTTTAATTCCCCCTGCTTTGAGTTTCTGGGTACAAGAAGTAAGAATGCCAGCTAGCAAAATGTATCTCTAGGCCAATATAATTCTGACATGAGAAGGAAAAATGAAAATAATGATCACTGTCCCTATTTTAATCTAGTAATAAAGCAGGAATAGGCAAAAACAATCTGGAGCAGGTCCCTGTGGCCGTAGCTTTGTCCCATGACCACTTCTCAGCCTGCTGCTGTAAGGCAGCTTGTTCCACGCAGTGTAGAAAGCCATGACTGGTGGCCTGAGTCTGGCTGTTTCCTTGGGACTGTTGCCGTTGACACACCGTATGTGTTACTCACAACCCCACAGTAATTCCCTAGTTATCATGCTGGAGTTTGTGTTTGTGTTGGCAGATACTGAAAAGGAGAGAAGCTTGGTGCAGACTGGGTTCTTTCAAGAACAAACTCCAAGAGAAGGGAGAAGCAGAGTCATTGTCTCATTGACTTTCTTCTCGCAGTAATTCTTCTGTGGCCAGTGTGGAGGCCAGCCTCTGAGAGACACAAAACTAGACAAGCTTTATATACATTTCCCTTCACTTTCTACCCTGCTTCGAGTCTTTGCCTAGATTCTTCCAGTTGGCACCCGAAGAACAATCATTTGAAGAGAGAATCTTTTTCTTGCTTTGGCTGCAACCTTCAATTCCTTGTCTCTGAGCCAAGATGCAAAAATAAAACAAGTAAACTATTATAATTTATTTGTGCGGGGGCTAGGAGGGAGGGCATATTTACTATTGTTGGAAAAACATAACACCAAATGCCAGCCCAACGTTGAGCAAATGACTTTCCCAGCTCACAAATGAGTGATTGTCAGACTTCCCGATGGAGGAAGTCACATCATTGCCTCCTGCGTCCCTTAAGTACAGTTGGAAGACTGAGCCAAGTCAACCGTGGGAAAAAGCACGCACAGTACTCCCCACTGACTCCTACAGTCTCGTGCTGCTTAGACTATGCCTCCGATGGGCAGGACCTCCTCAAGGAAAGATTTCATGGAGGACAAATAAAGCACAAAAAGGGTTGGATATAGTGATAGGATTACCTTTTGTGATCTAAACGGTATGTAGAATCGAATGTTACTACTCTGTTGTGTGGAACACGCCTCGTATTAGCTCTCTTACTGCATAGCAGATCAACACGGGAGGAATAGCTGAAAACAACACAGGTTTGGAATCTCACCATTTCTGCTGGGGTCCCTGCTCCAGTTCCATCCACGTAACTATTGGCATTGGCCAAGCCATTATCTTAGATGCAAACTCATTGTAGACTCATTCTGGTTGTTGGCACAATTCAGCTGCCTCTGAGTGCGGATTCTTGGTTTCTAGGGGTCTGCCCAATCATGTGCAGTTTCACATTGTGACTGCTTGCTCTACTCCTCAAAGCCAATGGGAAAATCTCTCCATTTTAAAGTATTAACTGACCGACTCCTTTCATTCATCAAAGTTAAATGATGAGAAGTAATTTCCCTTCAAAATCACCACCCCATTCTTTCCCAGGGCAAGTGTGCACACAGGGGTTAGGAACCTTAGAATTTAAACTCTTTCCCATAACTTTTTTCCTGGAGATAACCATAATAACATAAAAAAAATGATTAAAAGTATACCTTTGTACTTCTCTTTGATAAAGAGGGTTATATAAAATAAACTACAAAAGAGGAAGATGATAGAGGTGGGGGAGGATATCCAGTAAGATCTTGTCAGACTGGCACTGTCTTTGGACTTCATTATTTATTTAATTGAACTTGTCCTGTCTGCTGTCATATTACCAACTGGAATAACTAAAATGAAGAGAATGCAAATAAATGTGGCTCCTGTCTTCACAGAGCTCATAATGTCCTGGGACAGTCTGTGCATGTTACACATTAATTCCCCCCACCCACCAACTCTCCTGTAAGGCCACGGAAGTGAGGGAGAGGTCAGGCAAGATTGGCTCTCAGAAGACGCCAAATAAGAAGGGATAACATGGGTTACAGTAAAACAGGGCTAACTTCCACGTTACCTGCTTAAGCACTTCCTCATCACCTACTCAAGTGCTTACTATATGAGAGCAGTTTTTCAAAATCTAGGGAAATATGAAGCTAAAAGATAAACTCATCTTATTGTAATAGACTTTGAAATGTGTCCACGGAATTTAAAAAATGCTGTGTATAGAATTTTGAGGACCCTATGTAGGTATGGGTTTCAAGTCCTCATTGAACGAAAATAAACTTCTCTTATTCTCCCTCCCACGCATTTTTTGAAGTGCCCTTGTGAGTTAGACACAAAGGCCTCACGCAGGAGGAGACGCAGCTCCTCTCCTGCAGGGGTAGGCTCTGCAGCGCTGGGGAAACTTAAAGGATACCTGCGGCCCACTGCAGAAGAGATGCAAACGGGGTGGTGTGCAGGGCCTTCTGCAGCACATATGCCATTGCACAGAGAGTGTGTAGGACTGGGAGAAATGAGGCATTTGGAAAGAGACAGATGCACTGGATCAGTGGAGATTTTTTCAGTTTGCCCTGTTGACTGGCAGAAACTCTGAGCTTGTAAGAAGGGAGTGTGGCAAGTGACAACAGAAGGTTTGAAATCATCCAAATCCTGGTTAAATCCTCATGACTTTTGTGACCCTTAAGAATAGACTCAGTTTGCGTGCTTATAAAATAGGGAGGTCTTGTAAACAGCAAGATTGGAGTAATCAGAGAGACTGACTGAGTGTGCTAGCTGGTGCACAGTAGTCGTGTTAAAAGGCAGTTATGGTAATGATCACAACAGAATATGCTCTACTGTATTCTCTATATCTTCATTTACATTTGTGATTCTTAGTGACATGATCTGTAGTTTAAGAAAACTACTCTAGGGCTTGTTCTAGTAAAGGCGAGATGACCTGGGAAACAAGGTCATCCGATGCAGGTATGAAACACCCCTGGATTTCCTGTACGTATCCAGAGGAAAATATTCCCATTTGGTATGTTATGGAGTAGAGGAAGACAGGAGGTGTTTTAAATGGTCCAGGCTTTTGCTAGTGTCTTCGGAGCTGTACTCTGTCCAGGACGGCTGCTGGACATTAGTTCTGGAAAATATCAGTCTAGAGTTGTACTGTCTGGTATGTGGCTATTAAATTTTAAATTTAAATTAATTAAAATAATATTAAGTTAAACTAAATAAAAATTCAAAAGCTAGCTGTCCACTTACTCTATCCATATTTTAAGTGCGTACTAGCCACATGTGGCTAATAGCCCTGATATTAGAAAGCACCAATTGAGAACATTTCCCCCGCTGCAAGAGGTCTTATTGGGCAGTACTAGTCAGGCTAGTCAGATCCTTTGATGATGTTATCAAGCTACCAATGACAGCAAGAATGGAAGAGAGATTTTGATTTGAACCCAATCCTCAGATTTAAAAAAAAAAAGGGGGGGGGGAATAGTTAAGAATCACTCATAGGTTCTGGCCATGCTAAATTCTTAAATATTTGAATGAAGGAATAAATTGGCAACTGCAATGAACTGTTTTCATGGTAGTGCCATTAAATAATGAAGGCAACAGAGAAGACAGGCGATTGGACTGGAAGGTATTGCTTCTTTTGGACACAGAGTTTGTTTTATCGCTTACTGAAAGAAGCAGTAAATGGGCAGTGCCTCTTGGGAGAAGTGTTAGGAGGTAACACTACTGGAAGTTGACAATATTTGTGATGCTTGCTCTTCTCACCGTCATCAGTCTTTCGTAACAATTTATGGGCCCTGTGAGTCAAGTGGTTTCTGTCCCTAAAACCTTATCCAGTCATATTTCATCAATTCCCACATCTATTATTCAAAACCTGGATACCTAATGACCAAGGCTCCTGCAGGCATTAACTCACTGGGCTGATGACGTTACAACCCAAGGCTGTTGACTTGAACAGTCTTACCATCAAGAGATATGCTTTTTCGTTAAGTTCTTTGAAATTCTGAAAAAATGCTCATTCTTGGATTTCAAACGCCCTGGCTGGAGACAGCTACTGAAAGGGACAGTGAGCTATTCCATCGGAGTAGACGAGACCACACTGGGGAGAAGGGGAGAGTGCACAGTGTGAGGAGAAGAGAGCAGGAACAGCTGCCTGCACCATCCCCACACCACCAGCCCATTCCAGGGGGGCTTCTCTGAGCTCAGTTGGAAGAGTCCCAAAAAACACACCGTAATTCTCAGGCAAACAACTGAGTCTGTCCCAATTAGGCTCCCTGAACCTAAAACAGCATCATCTTCTCCAGGCAGAGAAGCCAGAAGTTGTCTAAACACCAGCCTAGAGACTGGTCAGCCACTTGGCCGTCTTCCTCAAATCCCCATGGCACAAGTGCTTTTAATACATACTCCGACTTTGTAGTTGAACTCTTTCATCCAAGCTGTCTGGTTTTTGATGCTGGGTGACCCAGAAACTCAGCATGATTTGGGAGAGTGACTTGGGCTTGGCATAATCTGGACAGATGTGGTTAATACCTGTGGACAGATGGTGTTCATCCGGTAAAATCAGGCACTTTATTGTGCTAATTAATCCAAGTGGGACTGTGAAAACACGGTATTAGCTGGATTTCCTGTCTAGCATGGTCATCAGTGCTTTCTTTTGGCTATACTGGGAAAATGTATATCCTGGTGTAACCAGAAATATTCTAGAAATCTTTTCCATAATGAGAGGCTTTTGATAAAAGCAAGAAGGACAAACATGCTAATCGAACTCATTTGAAGGTGTGAATACTTCATACCTTCCTGCATGACCAACCAGCATGGAGCGTGAGCCCAGAGTCCCCCTTGAATAGCTGTTGTTGCTTAGGCCTTCACTAACAGGAAGCAATACAGTGATCCTCACTTTAAATTAATTCAATAAGCATTTTTTTTTTCTCAAAAAAAGGCAAAAAATGTCACGGTTTACCAAGTGGTTTTCTTTCTTTTGAAAGCCTGTATGTGGAAATCATTTCTAAGGGCTTTTGTATTATCGCTTAACATCTGCACTGACTGATAAAAGTGACTTCTTTCCCTCTAAAGTAGCCAAGACATCAGAAGGCTCATTTTACATAGTTCCTTGCCCTCTTCCCCAATTAAAAATGTTGTGTGCATTTCCCTGAAAGTGGAATAGAGGAGAAATTATATATCTTGTTTTTAACACAGAGCTCCAGTGTCCTGTGTGATTTCTGGGAACCCATGTGTGTAGAGGGTTGAGGCTGGAATCTGTGGTTGGCCAAAGCTGAATAGAGATCGTACCTTTGGGTCATTATCAGCTAAAGTGAGCTGCTGACATGGCTCTTCATCGATAAATAGAATAAGCCTATCTACCTTGCTAGTGGTGAAGACTGAGTAAATAAAATCTATTACCATAAAGATGAGGCCCAACGCCTGGAAGAAAACTCAAACCACTGAACTGACTGTTGTCCACGCCTACCTCCTGCCTTACTTCCTCCTAACTCTGTGAGGGCAGAAAGATTCTGTTGCCGCAGAAACTGAGTCTTTGCAAGGTGACTAGTGTCACACAGCTGGTACTTAGTTGATCCAAGGGTCAAAGCCAAGGTGGCACACATTTTGGTTAATTAGCATTTCTGTCTCCTGTGCTCAGACAATGCACAAAATATCAAAGATATACTTTTAGTCGCAATGTGGCCATTCAGCCCCTTCTGCACAAATCACATTTCACTTACCTTTTGCTCAAAAGTGTATTTTCTCCTGGAAGCAGAACCTGTGTGAACTTGTGTGTGTTGTTATTTCCTTTCTCTTTGTGAAGGCGGAAGAGACGGAATTTCAACAAGCAGGCAACAGAAATCCTGAATGAATATTTCTATTCCCATCTCAGCAACCCTTACCCCAGTGAGGAAGCCAAAGAGGAGTTAGCCAAGAAGTGTGGCATCACAGTCTCCCAGGTAAGGGGTCCTTCAAAAGGCTCAGTGTGTAGCCTGGCCATGGTGGAGCCACATGATGGGATCTTGGAGTTCTGGGTTTACACCTTATGAACTCAATCAGCTGAAGCCTGGAAATGGCAAGGTAAGCACTTAACCCAACAAATACCAGGGTTTCCAGGTGAGCAACAGGCAAAGCTTAGGATGGACCCGCAGAAAAAGTGAGCAAATAGGATACAGTATAAAACCAGCAATGGGATTCTCTTCACTGAGCACTCTTGTATCAAACGGGTGAGATACTGTACACGTTCTTGCTACTGTCTGTGTCTTTCCTGCTGTTTCTTCAACCTTAGTCAATTCCTTAGCCTACATTTTTGCCTAATGCAAGAGCTTTCGAAAGCAGTGAATCGAACTTGTTATTTTCTAGTCTTTTAAATGAAAGGAACTTAAATGTCTTCTCTTGATGTGCTGCCTCTGTAACTGATGGAGTGTAGGAATTTTAACTTGTCACTATGATTATATTGGAACACTTGCATGAAATGTCATTGAACGTCCCTGTCCCCCACTGAGCAAGAACCATAGCAGGTGCCTGTTGAGTTGGAAAGACACCTTTTATAAAATTGTTACAGAACTAGGCTCTGACATTAATATGAAGTAGATCAGAAAGAAATATGTATAGGTGTTTGCATTTTGTAGACTCACAAGGCCCATGCAAACTTTGTATTCAAGCTGAATGTCAAATACCATACTGATATTTCTGATGAAGAAATACCCACTCAGACTTATATTATGTGGAAGGAAAACAGATATACTGGTATTTCCATTAAAAGGAGGGAAGACAGAGAACAGTGCAGAAGTTCACTCTCAGGAGTGACTTCATTTAACGTTTTTCCAATGAATGAGATGCTAGTTTGTATGAACTGAACATCTGTATATTCCTAAACTGAATCCTGGCTTCTCTTACTCCCTTATAGGGTTTGTATCCCATTTACCTGTGTTTAGCTAAGCACAATCAAATCCGGGCAAAATCTAGGACTCCATAAAGCGTGTTTTCAATGAAGAGATTGTCAGGATCTCCCTGACAAGCTGTGGGTTGAAAACACTCTTTCTGATGAGGCAGAGTGAAGACCCCCTTCTAGCCCATACCTTCCGTGGGTACCTTGATCTAACTGAAGGTTATTTCAAGTTTTGACAATTCGGACCAAGTAAAATATCAGTGGTCAAACGCAAGCAGTTTTTCCTAGGACTATAACCATTTTTGTCCAAGTCTAGAATGATTGTTTACAGAAAAAAAAAAGAATTGGTGTTTTCTTATATTTGCTGCCTTTTGGAGAAACGATTCTAGGTCTGAAGCGCATCACTGACTCCCAAGGCAGTTAATTTCAGCCATGGAATCTGCTTAGGACAGAATGGCTTTAGCCTGTTGTCTGAAAGGTTGGGATTCAGAATTTATGATCCATCTGGAAAGTAAAACCAACACTTGTGAAGCAAAGGCTGTGTTAGAGGCAGATAAAATATGGAATTCTGGCTCGTTTCTTCCTTATGGAGACTGAAGACACAAGGAGTTTGCCTACTAGAATGATAATTGACCAATTGCATCACCTTTCCCTTCGCCAACCACACCAAGGCTATGCAAGGCTCATCATATCCCTCCCTCCAGACAACAATCATGTCCAAACAAGTCCTGGGCAGAAACAGCATGATAAGATAGAATAGAGCTAAGAGAGGAACATGTTTCTGATAGGAGTTAACTGTGAGATTTTAAGAGACTCACTCTTTTGAGTGTCTGAGGTGCATTTGGGTTATTCGATTTATGAAATCTCTCTCTTAGTTCCTGAATCCATGGGTACCTTTTGGGTACTATGGCCATTGAACAGTTAGTTCATGCAAGTCCTGATTGCATACCCTGTCCGGGATACAGGGTATCGTCTAGTGGACCATATAGAAGATACCTCAACTCACCTGCTCGTTCTGCTGCCAGCTCCAGTCTCATTTAGAAAGAAATCATTCCTGCCACGTTATACAGTCTCCTCCCTCTCTGTTCCTTTCCATTTTCCCCCACACTGATCTAATTTAGTTTAATTGGGTCTCAGGCATTTCTTTTCTTCCTTGAAACTTCTTTCTTGCAACTCATTGGTTATTCCAGAAAAATTGGTCTTGATTCTTTTCCGCCTATTTCACTCACAAATTAAAAGAAAAAAAAAAAGAAATTGCAATTGTGGTTGATTCATATACATAAATGAAGTTATATGAAGAAAAACATGATTTTCAGGGAAAATATATATGCAATGGTTGTAAAATGTAACCAAATGTGCTCTCTGTCCCCTTGTTCAACTCTGCTTTATTTTTTTTCCTGTAGGTACCAATATTTATAATAAATAAAGCATCATCTCATTGAATTTTTGCCCTTATTTGCTAGCGTTGCAATGGTAGAGTGTGACTTTTAAAACAAAGGCTTGCCCCTTTGAGGACTCCCCTTAAAAGACATTTTAATTTTTCTAATGCATTTGAAGATATATGCAGGTTTACAAGAATTTTAGCTGCAAATGTAAATTATGTCTAACCTGTGATGTGTGCATGCAATTAGTTCCTGCTTCCCTGACCAAATCCACAATGTTGTTTTGTAGTTATTTGAAAACTACGTTGTATTTTGGAATCACACCCGCAATGTGGGGTTTAAAGCTTTGTTCCCTAGGCAGGGATTATAGGTGTGAAACATGAATTTCACTATCTCTGCATGTCTCCGGCAGAGACCTTAGCGTATAGGGGCTGAGCTACCAGATAGTTGCTGTGAACCACATGCAGGAAATAAAGTAACAAATGAAAGTAAATTAGGCTTATTATGTTCATTGGCTCTAACATTGAAAGCCCGGAATTCGAAGGTGTAATTAGCTGTGTGCTTCAGTTTTCCCCTATGTAGATAACACTGAACTTTTCCCTTTGTAGATAACAGAGTATTCACAGAAATCTATTATATTGATCCTAAAGTCTATAGTACAATGCAGCTAAGAATTCAATCCATATTAAAGTTACTTCTAAAATTCTAACATTTGTTTATTGTTTAAAACAATTGTGTGTTGATATATATGTACATACACAGCTATTTAAAAATCTGTGTATTTTCTTTGCATGAAGTTAAATTTAATTGATAAGAAAGAGGCATTTCTCATGAATTGCTAGGTTTATTTTAGTGTCTTGACCAAAGGAGTAAACATGTTTAAAATGCCTTTTCTAAATTAAAAGGATTCTAGATTAACTGAGCAGCCCTTCTATAGAAGTATAGAAAAATTTCCCCCAAATGGTTGAGCTATGTGTGACTGTTAAGCAAGGGAGCCTCGTGTGGTGTAGCTGCTCCTCTGAAAGGTCTGACTTCAGATGTATTCACTGGTGTTGCTGAAAAACAAATAGGTAAGATCCCCCCTTGCCCTCCTCGTCACCTCCTCAGTAGCCCTTGTTTTGATGAAATGATTCTGAAAGATTAAAAGTTTAATGTTCTTCTCTTAAACCACCACAGGTATCAAACTGGTTTGGAAATAAGCGAATCCGGTACAAGAAGAACATAGGTAAATTTCAAGAGGAAGCCAATATTTATGCTGCCAAAACAGCTGTCACTGCCACCAACGTGTCAGCCCATGGAAGCCAAGCTAACTCACCCTCCACGCCCAACTCAGCTGGTGCGTTTGTCTGTTGCTTTTTTGGGGAGTTAAGGGAGGGTTAGAGTGTTATGTTCTGTTTTTATATTATTTTTCATGCATTGGTGTTTTATTTTAATTGGGTTTTAAATGATCAGTTGACATATTGGGTTGTATACTTTGGTACTTTGGGGTTCTTCGTTCATTCGTGGTGAGCTATGTGCTGCATTGTTTATAAGGTGAGTATCAGGAGGCCTGCATTAATATGGCTGTGTAAATTGGGACAGAGAAAAATGGTTTTAATGAGGCTTTAGAGATTCTCCTTTTGGAGAACCAGTAAGTAAGTGAAAATGAATACTTGCAGATGATGTTTGGGGTGCCACCATTTCGTCTGTTCCTTAAAGGTTTTTTTCTTTGTTTTGTTCCCCCTGCCATTCGTCTGGGTCACCTGTTAGCATACATTCTTTACAGAAATGTTCACACTTCTAATGAGGAAATACCTCATTAGAGCACCCTGGTCTCAGAGTCAGGCTAGAGTTGTTTCTTTTACTTACAGTTGTTCTGTATTGTTTTACCTGCTTGGGTTTTTGAATGCAAACTCTAAGGAAAATTTGCAGTAATTGTCTGGAATTATTCAGGTTCCCAATTATCATGTTATTTTATTGGTTCTGTGTTGTGTTCTAAACTCTATTTCCATAAATGTTCATTGAGTCATGATTTTCAAATTTTGGCTAACGTGGTATATGCTTGAGTGTGCCTTGTGCCAACAGTTGTGGATTTCCCTGGGCAAAAAAATGATCAGTAATGCATAAAATAGGACTTTAGTGTTCATATGGTATGCAGGGCATGTTGGTACTCATTTTTTGTAAGATAAAAGTAGAAATATTTCCTTGTTACGTAAGTTTGATATCAGATATTCTTTACCCATACCGAGCAAGATGCATTGATGTTGACTGGGGTGCACATCTCTGATAAAGCCAAGGATTTCAGTTTTAAAGAGTCACAGAATGAATTATGGTTGATCACAGTGTGACTAAAACTGTAATTTCACAAGTCTTTGAATATGTTGTATCTGAAGCTGCCTTGTGCATTAAGACGACTTCTGTTTCAACATTATGGCGCCTTGTTATTGGAGACACATAGCACTCCGCAGCGATGTCTTTCGCGAGTGTTTAAATGCGCTAAGTTGTTATCATTAGGTTGTTCAAACCATGAGCTGCCCCATCATGGCCTTCTTTTGTTTAAATGGGATCATGTATAAAGAGTGGCTTGGGCTTTCTAAATGGATGTGGTGAGACAAAGCAGAATTCAATCCAGTTTTATTTTTCCCAGCACTGCAAGTTGGGTTACTATGAGAAGCATATTTGCTTTCTGAGGGTTTTGCTGTTTGTTTTGTTCTCTCCCCATCATGTTGTGTTTGACGAAGGATTAAGGTTAGCAGGTTCAATAGCCAGAGTTTCCTTCTTCCCCATCTGGTCAGTTATTAAGCATTTCAGCCCCGCAAACACAAGTTGAATTGCACTGCTAGCAGACATTTCCACTTGTCTCTTTGGAAGAAGTACAATTCTGTCAACATTAGCAAAAATGCACTCAACACTCCTGCAAAGGTTATCATAATGCAAAACAGATATCAAAATGACTTCTTCCTGTCCGTGCTATATCTGCATCACAGATGGCCTAGCATGATTTATGACTAGTCCTTAGAAGGGCCCTGTGGACTCCCTTCATTACTAAATCAGTAACTATTTATTCTTTCCAAAAGCCCTTACAAAGAGAAAAGTAAGCATTTCAGCCCCCTTCTCTGTGTGTAAGAATTGTGTTGCCTGTTATGGAATGTCAGTCTATGACTGGAGTTCTCTAAGGAGTTTTTCTGGTGGCTTGAACTTCATGCGACTATTCTGAGCGCAAAGTAAATTATTATGGAAAATATGAGCCTTAGCCTTCCAGGTGCGCCTAAGTTGTTGGAAATAATATGCAAAGGAACATCCTTTGTACTGCTTTTTTTCTAAATTAGAGACAAAAGAAAATACTATGGTACATGCACAATAGCATGGAACTTTGAAAGATAAATGTCTTAACATGAAAAGTTACAAATGGGCTTTTCTTCGTTTTCTTCTGCTCTTAACACAGCCCACATCATTGCACAGATAAAATGAGGACTTTGAAATATTACAGCTTTTCACATAGGATACTTATTTGGCTGGATACTGGTTGCTTCGGGCTTTCACAGGATAAAATGATCATCACAACACCAACTTTTAAGTAACACGTTTGTATGTTAAAGTGCATTTTGTCAGACCTTAAAGTCAAGTTTTGAAGCCAAGGAATTTTGTTGAAGTATGTATGTATGTATTCATTCATTCATTCATTCATTCATTTATCTGAAAGACAAAATAATAGAGAAGAAGCAAGAGGGAGAAAAGAAAAGATCTTCTATTTACTGTTTCACTCCCAAATGAACTTAACAGCCAGGGTTGAGCTATTGCCAAACTCAATCCAAGTCTTCCACCTGGGTTGCAGTGGCCCCAATACTTGGGCTATCCTATACCACATCCCTGTGCTTTAACGAGAAGCTGTATCAGAGACGAAGTAGCCAAGATTGGAACCAGACCCTCTGGTGGCGATGTGCGATGTGTGTGTCGCTTAACCTGCTGCGGGACACCACCAGACTGCTGAAACTTTTTATTTCCTCAAAACTGAGACAATAGCTTCTATCAGAAGTTTCACGAAGTGGAAGTACTGATGTCTATTGCAAAGAAGATAATATGCAAGTAAAACCTCCTCTTTCTAGTGGCTTCTTTGTAGAAAGCAGTACACCGCTCCCTTTAATTAGATCACTGCTGGGGTCCAGTGATGTGGCGTGGTGCCTGTGGTGCTGACATCCGTATGGGTGCTGGTTCGTGACCCAGCTGCTTCACTTTGGATCCATTTCCCTACTAGTGGCCTGAGAACACAGCTGATGAGAGACAAGGATGAAACTCCTGGCTTCAGCGCATAGCCCTGTCCTGACAATTGTGGCTGTTTAGGGAATGAACCAGCAGGTGGAAAATAGCGCTGTCCGTCACTCTGAATTTCAAACAAACAAACACATTTTAAAGAGAAAAAGTAAAAGTGCTACTTATGAGCTTTTCTGTTTGTATTTGCCTTGTCTCATTTTTAAAGTCCAATTCATTTGAAAAAAAAAAAGGAGCTAGGACTAGGAACTATGGGGGATTAGCAAACCGATCAGAGATATTAGATCAGCAGAGCTGGACAAAATGCATAGGTCAAAGGTGAAGAAGAGAAAATCAGGTTTTTAAAAAAGCAGACGAGGACCAATGGAAGCAACAGTGAGAACCCCATCTCCATCATTCCGGAGGGATCCAGAATGACGCATTCTCCATTGCCTGTTTTTGCTAAGATTATAAAAAGCAAAGATTAAGTCCTCGGGAAAGTGAGTCCCTTTCTGGAATTTGGCCTATCATCTGGAGAACATTTGAACATCCAAGAAAGAAGAAATTAGGTTGTGCATTACAGATGTTTGCCGAGGCACATTATCAGCCTTGCTATTTTATCGGGTTCTGTGATTAGCTAAGAGATCACAGGACTCTCAGATATGAAGTCTTTTAACTTAACTGTGTATGTGTGCACATCAAGGAGAACAGCCAGTTTAGCCTGAAATTTCATGCTGTCACACTGTTTTAGTTAGCAGCAACCTGTCCGTAATCCTGTGACACTCAACAGGAAGTTTGGCTTTGTTCAGGACCCATGGGAGTGTTTTATGTTAAAACCCTGACCCCAGCTCCCTGGAAGAAACTTTTATATACAGAAAAGCTGACTGACCACATGGTAAATCCGCAGAAACACTTACTAATTTTTAAAAAATTATCTTTGCTTACATATTCTTTCTTCTCCTTTATTTTTCTGTGAAAAAAAAGGAAGCCATTCCTTCTAGAGCTGGGACTCTAGAACCATGTCGTGTGTACTGTCGGAGGGAGTTCACATGAGTTCAGCAACCCTTTGTTTTTTATTCTGCCCCCAAGTAGAGAGTAACAACAAAAGTTGTCGTTTGGAAAGGGAACTACAGAAACAAGGAAGAATGTAATTACAGGTACAATCAGAAGAGGGGTCTAGCCTTCAGGCCTTCAAATGACAGAGGGAGACCAGTCGTACCAAGCTGGCCACAGAATCTATTTGAGGCCTTGAATCCTAAACCTAAGAGATTGGAGGCCATTTTTGACATGCAGCTACTTCCTGTACCTGCTGTTAGAAGCAATGCACATGTGTTAAAACCAACACTTGGACTCCTTAAGAGGAAAGCTGTTCAAGGCTCTTGGTTCTCAGGTAAGGTGACTTTGCATCTCAAAAGACATGCCATAGAGTCTAGAGATGTGTTTGGTTACCATAAGTTTAGAAGGAGGATGCACCTGGCATCTGGTGGGTATAGATCAGGGATGTGGTTAACCATCCCACAATGTATGACTCCCCCGTGGTAAAGGCCAGCTGAAGATGTCACTAGAAAGATTGAGAAGCCCTACTCGAGGTTTATTACCATATTTTCTCATTCCAATTTGCTTTTCAGAGTATGAACTTGATTTTTTTTTCCTTTCCTGGAAAAATAAGTCTCCTGAAGATTCTTTAGAATTCAGTCCCAGGAAATTGTCTTGTGAAAGCGGATGTTGACTCATTTCCACATCATGGTGTCAGCCCAGGCAGATGGGTTAGACTCATAGGTGACACATTGTGTCATCTAGGTTGACTTGAGTGCAGTTAGCTTTGTACATGCCCTGAAAGTTTGCATGGTAGTTTCAATGGGCTGCTGGCCTCCCTTCCCAAGCCAAATTCAGGACCTTTCAACAAACAAGCACATTTTAAAATGTGCTTCTAGTAATTGCTGATTACTTCAAAACAATCTGCAGGTAAGACTGTTGAATGTCTTTCTGGGCAAGCCCAGTGACTGTGTTTCAGCTGTTTGAAAATCCCCCAGCACCTCCAAGGAAGACCATTCTCTGTTTGTCTAAGGATTATGTGCTTCTCGGGAGGTGATCTTTTTAGGTTTTTTTCCCCAACTTTCAGTGCTGGATAAGGAACATGTACTGCCCTCATCATTTAGATTTTTGGGCAAACTTTTGTCTGCTCTAATGTGGCATTGATGGCACCTGATCTCTTCCTGGAGTGCGATCACTGCCTCTAGATATTTATCAGAGTCGGCAGCCTTGGGATTGTTGTATGTGGGTGTACGGAGTCAATGCGGTGCTGAGACAGCACAGCCAAGAGCTCAAGAGACTGTTTCTGCAATTACTGCTCTGATACAAATGCATTTGTACATGAAGTGCATTTATATGCGCATATTTATCTCTGTGTACATTAGGTAGCCAGACATATTTACAATTTATCTATGCACATATATTTTTTTTAAGTCATCTGTGTCAGTTGCAGTGTGTATCTTGTAAATCGTACATTCCATGCCTTCATGGTTCCATGGGTGCCGTGTTGCTTGGAATCAGTATAACCCCCGGGGACTTTGTCCCACTTCTCAGTTTGTGTGCTAATTTCCAGTAAACCATCAGCCACGCATACAGGTTATGTGTTCATTACAGGGCATGTGATTTAGAGGGAGACAGAATACCTTAGCTGCAAACTGAATACTCTTGAGGGCTTGGAGGAGAGAAGGTCTGACGACGTGGAAATCATTGTCATTGGGGTTCTTGGAGCTGGCTCGTCATGGTTCTGATGATATCTAAATGTAAGCTTATATTGCAACGTGACAAAGGCCTTCATTTTTAAGTTAGATCTCCATGATTACAAAAAAAGACTTGAGATTGATATGACTAGAACGTTAAGGCCTGGATGTGGCGTATCTCGGCATGACAATGGAATCTATGCTACGTGGCACTTTGTTCATGGACAGGGGAGGACAATTTCAAGGATATGTTACAGGAAGTTACTGGCCGAAGTATTCATCCCACTGACACGCCTCATCTGTTTTGCCAAGACCCATATTTTCTAATTCCTTTCACAAAAGATCAACAAAGAAATGTGTGCCAGATGAGGCAAAGGCATTTTGCAGAACTTTGGAAACATCACAATCTTGTATTTGCCCCCTCCCCCAAGAAACATTTCCTTCCTCCAAGGAGAGAAGGGCTGAGTGTGGATTTAGGTGGAAGGGCAGCTTATGTTGCTTAGTGGTTAGTCCCTTGCATGTGGATAAACATCCCACAGAGTAAAGAAAGATGGAGGCATTTCTGAACTCGTGGTTGTCCCCAAGTTTTACAGGTTATCCAGTCCTTCCACACGGCTCCTGCTGTTGGAGTTTGAACACACTGGAAGCACAGAGATTAGTGGCAGAGATGGGCATTCATCACTTTTAAGTGGTCCCTTCTATGGGAGAGAAAACCTTCCACTCTGCTTAGCTGTAGCAGCTCTCCATGTAGGACAACCCTTTAGGAGAGCTCAAAAAATTTTCTTCGTCTTAGCAGAAAAGAAAGACCGTCAGAGCTGAGGCATGAATCATTGTTGGGCAATTCCGCACTGATGATGGCTGTCTCAGAATATGAGGGCAAGAGTGCAATTTGAGCAACATGGGGTTGGAAGTAATAAAATGCAACTGACCTGGGTCCCTAAGGTCTCCTTTTCCAGGCTAACGTCATGTTTTAACTAAATCTTGCACGTTGAGCTTTCTTTCCTAATGCGCTGAGCTGCACAATAACTTCAGAATAATATCCACTTCTGTAAGCCCTTGTGCTTAGATTGAGGGAGGGCTGGGTTTACCACAGTGGAGCCAGGGGATTTTGCATGGTACCAGGGTGAACCTAAAGGTCAACTCTCTGGGTGAAGCCTCCATTTCTGGAAAGAGCACATGGTGAAGAAGCCCACTTTTCGTACCCTCATTGTCAGCATTTCATAGTTCATACGTGCTTGAGGATTCTGGCCCATTACTTGGTGTCTTGCTCTTGCATTCTGAACAACAGGTTAGCAAGGAAGGAGAGACGAGGCTAGTGTAGCATTGTGGACCTCAAGACTCTTTGGGCTGTCTGTTACCCTGAAAGTTACTTCACCTTCTTCCTAGAAATCAGGAGTGTCCCCAGACCTGTATCTCAGGATCAGCCCAAATGTAGCATTGCTTCCACACCCTCCCTTCCCAGGCCCTGTTCCCCATATGAAAGGAGACAATAGCATAGTTAGATGGTATTCCATCCTATTGGAAAGGGATCACTGACCAGCCCTTATTCTTTGTTTGCGGTCCCCCAGCCAACTCTAGAATTTTAGAGTCTAGCAGGAAAGCAAGACCCTAGGTCTGCAGACTGTCTTCCATCCAAAGTTGAGAAGACTAAGTGTTTTCTTTCTCAGCTTGAAGCAGTCCTATTGGCAATTTCGTAGTAAGATGTGGCTTCACATAACCTGAAAAGTTGCACCCTGATTTGCTTGCTCTGTTCTTCATGCTACTAACCAGACTCTATTGTTATTATTTTTATTTTGGTTCTTGTTTGGGGGGAGGTTGCTTTGCATGTTGTTCTTCCTCTTGGCTGTTGTTTTCAGGGGTCAAGCCTTTTCCTTTCTGTGATTCAGGTGCCTCACTCTTTCCTTTCCAGGTTCTTCCAGTTCTTTTAACATGTCAAACTCTGGAGATTTGTTCATGAGCGTGCAGTCACTCAATGGGGATTCTTACCAAGGGGCCCAGGTTGGAGCCAACGTGCAATCACAGGTAGGGACCCAGCCAATATGCCGCCAGGTGAATGCCCTAGACTCCAGGAGCCCTCAGTCGTATTGGCACTTGCTGCTTCTCTGTAGGGAGAGAGATCAGAACCAAAACCACATCCTCAACCAAACGAAACCAAACCAAAACAGCCATAAGGCACCATTGTCGTGGGGAATCTTGTCCACACTTTGTGAATGCATTTGGCTCTGGCTGTCAGTCACACTAGGAGGAAGGTGGGAGAAGAGTGGCAAGGGCAGGGTAAGGTTACCAAGGCATACTCGACAAGTGGAGCTCGCGTGATCTTCATTCACTCAAGAGAAACAGAGAAGGAGTACAATCCATTGTCGCCATTTGCAAGTCTCGCTCTCATTTGTTGGCTCTTCAAATTCAACTTTTGCCAAACAAGAGGGTAATTAATGAGCAGTCAAATACATCAGTATCTCCTGTTTCTATTTCAAGCTTCAGTAACACCCAGCTGGCTTGACTAAACTCATCTTCTTAGTCATGCCTAAGATCCAGGGACTTGGGCTTCTGATGACGAGCATACATTTGTGTTGGAGAAGCAGAAATAAAGTCATATCAAACCTCAGAGCTGTTTAGTGGATTGGTCTCCTTCGTGTCACCTCAGGAAGATACTCAACTGTGTCAGCATGAAGCACAAAGTGAAACTCAAGACATGTGCTCTTATATGGGTTAATTCGGGAAGTTTTGGGCTGTGTCAATCCAATATCCCACCATGCAAGTGAAACAAGAAGCATGATGTGCCTGGCATAGAATCCCTGGCCAGTGGTTCAGTCCTTTTCTCAGGAAACTATGTCTGAAAACCAGTTTGAGGAGGTGGTCAGACTTTAGTCAGATAACTGAGCTAGCTGTCATTTAAGTTCTCATGAAAGGATTTTAGTTACATGCTATTCTGCCTGTGAGGTGGTGGCCCAAATCTCTTTTATACCAGTCCCTGACTTTCATTGGTTACACAGCAGAGGAGAAGCTAGCAGAATGACCTAGAGGGAAGAAGGAGAAATGGCTACACCTCCTGACCTTTGACCTCCTCTGTAACCCCATTCCCTGACATCTCATGCCAGTTTGTTAAATAAGCGTCACTGTTGGGAATCCCAGTTGGTTGTTTTTTTTTTTTTTAAACAATGTATTGTCTTAACTGATAATGGACTTGACATACAGAGAAGACCTAGCTTCCATCTGCTGGACTGTTCCTAGACTATTTGTCTCCAGGATGATTGCATTAATTGGCCATGCCCAAATGGTAGCCTGTAAGATGATGATCTGCCGCCCTTTCCCTGCATGTCCCTGACTAATTTCCTCTCTGTTGTTGTTCATCTGTTTAGGTGGATACCCTTCGCCATGTTATCAGCCAGACAGGAGGATACAGTGACGGACTCGCAGCCAGTCAGATGTACAGTCCGCAGGGCATCAGTGTAAGAAAACAAGGCTCCCCCTCTCCTTTGTTTTTATTCTATCACTACCAATTATTTCAAAGCCATAGGGCCCAGGATGCCACTTAGTAGGACTTGTCTTAGCTTTACGGTCCCCGACTTTCTTGTTTCTGTCTCGGTTATGCCATCGGCAGTGTTCTACCCACAAAAAAAGTGGCGACTGGGCAGGCTTCATGCAGGCAGCTGGCGTCTAGGGCTGTCAGACGCAATCAGTGTTTGCATGGCACCTGCGGCCACATGCGTTCAGCTGAGAGGAGCTGCTAAACAGGTGACACCTAGTACAACAGTCGAAGGAAATGTCACCACAAACTCTGGCTGGACTACATGGGGAGGAAAACCAGAGACGAAAATTTCTTGCACCCAGTGCTGCGATCTAAAACAAATCCTTGTTCCAGTCTTTCTATGAGTGATTAAAGAAAAAAAAATTAAGATGGAGACTGGGTGTGTTGAAAAGGCGGGGAGGGCGCAGACCATCTTGTACTTGTTCTTGGGTGTGCTGGCGGCTCCTGACTAGCATGAAAATTCATAGCGACAAGCTATGTCGCACAGAGTGAAATCGATCAGACAGACACAAGGAGAACCGAGTGTAGATTTGGGACAGCAATCCAACTTGATTTCTCAGATCAATCGTCGGCTATCTCAGCGGCGATGACAGCAAGCTAGGACAAGAGGGCAGCCTGGAAAAGCAGACTGTTCTTCCGATTGGGGTGGTTTCTTGGCTTTTACAGGTATCAGGGGGCTCCAGAAGAGCTATCGACTTTGATCTATTCATGAGTGCTGGGATTGGTTGGTGGTGGTCATTTTTGTTTTAATGTTTATTTCTGTTGTTATAACTAAAGTAAAATGAGAAGGTGGGGGAGGCATGATTTATTAGTAACAAGTTAGTCTACACATATTGATGTAGAATATGTGCACCAACGGAGCTGATGGCCTCCTCAACTCCACACTGCTCAAAGCGCATCGGATTCTGGTGAGCTTGGAAACAGTCAAGAGGATACCAGCTGTTTCATCAGAAGAGAACTGGTTGAAAGAATTAAGCATTCTTCCTCCGGAGGAGAGAGCCTGTGGGTGTTACTGAATGGTGTAGTACATACTGTCAACAGAAAGAAGTTGACTCAGCAGGAAAGATGTAGCGTGGAGAGGAAACAATCTCTGAGAAGTTGCAGAGAGATAACATTTCGCTTCAGTATCTAATGAGACTTTCTCAAAGTCAGAATCCTCTAAAAAGGGAATTGGCTGTCTTTCGAAGCCAAGAATTCCCAGCATTGGAGAATTCAAGCATGGATTGGATAGCTATCTGGTTAGGATTTGACAGAAGGGAATTGGGCACCAGACACTGTTTTTGGTGATGTGGCCCTTTACAAGTGGAATTTCTGTATGTTGTGGTCTTTGGACAGAATCCCTTGTAATCAGAACCGAGGCTGTTAAAGATATTCTGCTCAGTCCTGTTGCTTTCTAGGAAAGATTTTTATAGAACAGAGAGGCAGTCTTTTTGTTTGTGCCTATATTAATTATTATTATTGTGCTAATGACTGACTTGCCGTTTTAGAAAAACATTTAGAAAAATATATGTTTAGAAAAATTCAAGATGTGATGGTGGGGAAGTGTATGGAATTCAATTTCAAGTGAATGAAGTAGCTGTGTGTGTGTGGCAGTAATAGGGAGGTAGGGGTGTTCAATTAAGCATACATTTATGTACTTTAAATCTTTTTGAGATGTAAGATAGATTTTTTTTCCATAAAAAGTTTTGCAGATTTCCTGAATCTTTTTGAAATACGAAGTGCATTTTTTTTTTCTTCGGAGAAAGCTTTGTTCTAAGTACGAGAGAAGCATGTGGAGAGCATCAGAGTGTGGGGACCAGAACCAGGTCCTACTCTAAAGGGGGGGCTGAGGGATGTCCACGTGACCAGGCAGGAAATAGGCTGACAGTTCTTCCCAAATTGGGTAGCATTAAAAAAAAAAACAGCATTCAGACTGGCTTGGCCTGTGGTGTGTCAACACTGACCCTCCTGACGTCATCTCGTAGGCTGGGAATCATTTGTGAACTACTGCAACCAAACATGTGCAGACAATTATATCTGATTGCATAAGCCCACCACAAGACAAAGCTGGAAAATGCCACTTGAAAGATCTCTCATTTTGTATTAATTTTTTTTTTGTCTGTGAATTGTGGCTATTGTATTTCTGGCTCTTTTAATATACAGAGTAAGCAATTCAAAGACTGGGCTTGGTAGGATATGCCGCTTTGGTATTCATTTTAATTGTGCCACCTGCGGGAGACTGAGCCAGTTAGAGCGAGATGTGTTTGAAAGTGTTGGAGTTCAATGTCAAGACGTATGCTTGTGCAGAGGTGGGCCATGGCTGACAGGAGAAGGAGACAGAGGGGAGACAAGAAGAGGCAGGGACAGGAATGAATGGTTTATGCCAAGAAGTAAAAATAAACAGTTCCTAACCCGAAAGCAGCAATGGAATCCCAGACGAGCCCTGGATTGTGTTTCGTTTGGTGGAGGACATTTTCTGGGCAGCCTTTTTGTGCTCCTCTGCCTGGGTTTTCACAGCACTGAGGTCTCATCCAGCCAACATGTATTTTAAGTCCTTTCAAGTTCAGATCTCTTACGTTTAGCTGACCACGGAGCATCAGAGTAGTAAGGTGCAGTGATTAGAGACGTGGAAAGGGAGAGTTAGCAGATGCTGGTCTTTGTGTGCTGTGTATACGCTGTGTACCCCTTGGGCAAACATGGAATCTCTTCTAGACAATGAGGCCAGTCATCCTGAGCCTTAATACCTCAAGGACTGCTTTAGGGAAAATGGGAAAATAAGTGGGAAAGGGCTTGGCAAAGCATACATTGTTCCACATGAGTGCAATGAAATGTTATAAGCGGTAACTTTCTAATTTGACCTTTTTTCTCCCTTTGTGTGAGTAGTTTTCACAGTAGGTAGTTCCTTGTGAGGATAGGTTAGGACACAGTTGTCACTTTCTTCTCCCTGCTGATGGAAAATTATGCTTTTGAGATAGACATGGAGTTTTACAAGGGCTAAGGACCCCCTTCCTTAGCAGCTGTGAGAATTAAATTATAACCCCATAGGTATCCTGTGTTCTCTTATGACAACGGGCACGGCTTCCTGGGCATCAAGTGCCTCCGAATAATGGAGGAAGATTATTCCCCTTCGCTGTCAGTCAGACAGAAAGATCACTTAGCTATCATGCTCTTTCCTTTCCCAGTGCCACCATCCTGGTTCTAGAAATAGTTCATTAACTAGGTTGTTGCAGTAACTTCCTAATCATGGTTGCTGTCTTTAGTTCTTCCCCTCTCCTGCCCACATGCCCTGGGCTTTGTCATTCCTTGCTCAGGAATCAGTGGCAGTTTCTCATGCCTACCCAAGCAAGCTGATGTCCTGACCAACACTTAGGGTCTTCCATATGCTGGCTCCAACCTACTCAAGCATCCATCTGTCCTGTCTACCTTGACCTGACCGCATACTTTAATCTCCCTCATGTTGATTCACATATGTATGCCACTTACAACCATGCCATTTTGATCCCACCTTTTACCTTGGCATTCCAGGTCCAGTTCATCTCAGCCTTCCTGCCCCCTCCTCTTGCTGCTTCACCACTCACACATCCTTTCCTTACATTCATGCCCTTTCTAAAACACACTTGACTTTGTTTCCTTCACTCTTCTGAGTGTATGCATCCCTTAAACGCACACATTCATTGCTCAAAACATGTTTGCTGAATGAATAAATCAAAGAGGAAAAGATATTGCTTCAATAAAAATGTATTTTAGGGCTTGGCAAGGACACCTAGTGGCTCAAGTCCTTGCCTTGAATGCACTGGGATCCCGTATGGGCTCCGGTTCCAATCCCGGTGACCCTACTTCCCAACCAGCTCCTTGCTTGTGGCCTGGGATAAAGCAGTTGAGCATAGCCTAAAGCCTTGGGACCCTGCACCCGCGTGGGAGACCCGGAAGAGGCTCTGGTCTCCTGGTTTCTGATAAGTGCAGCTCTGGCTGTTGCAGTCCCTTGGGGAGTGAATTACGTCCTCTCTGTCTCTCCTCCTCTCTGGATATCTGACTTTTCAATAAAACTAAATGAATCTTTAAAAAAACACATCTTAATGAACATTAGCCACATCTCATGTATCAGCTAGAAAGCACCAACTAATAATTACTCCTTTAAGGGTGTCCCTTAGTCACTGTACCATCTTGTCAATCTGACACCCTCCTCAGGTCTTTCTTTCTGGTAGCGGTATCTTAAGCTTCTTGGCCCCTGAAGATTCTGTAAGACTAAAATCCAAATCACATTAAGTAAAATGAAATTCCCCGGTGAGGATATTGAAGAGGTCTGTCTCCCCTGGTTGCTTCTATGCTCAGAGTCCCTATGGAATCATGCCTGTTTCTGGATAGCCCTCCTTGGAGTGACATAGCATCGTCTCTGATGGGCTCCTCCTTGCCTTCCCCACAAGACATGGAACTGGATCTCCAAGGACACCTGGGGTAATGGGAAAATACTTGAAGTCAGGGAACGTAGCTCCTCTGGGTGGGTTTCCTTCACCTCATCTTGCTTCATCTGTATAATGTCCCAGTTAAGCAAGCCCAAAGATCCCTTTACAACTCATTAGTTCTAGAATTCTATATGTCTGATCTTTGATCGTTGCTGCTAGCTCAGGGAGCTTAAGACTAAATGTAGATTTTTCCAACCCTCCCCTCTAAGCCTGCCAGGATAAAAAAAAATCCAATGGTTTTCGTGCACTCCATTCATTCTAGGTCAGCCTCTTCCACCCCTTCAAATGGAATCTGGAAGAATGACATGAAGAGGAAGTAGTCACATGATCTGTATTTTTCCCTTTGAAATTCCAGAGATTTTCCATAGCAAAAACCATCATTCTTTAGGCTAAAACATTTATTTTTTATCTAATTGTCTTTAAGTATGGGTTAAAGGCCCGGCACCTGTGACTCAATAGTGAATCCCCACCTTTCATG